CCCCTCTCCTGGGTCCCCATGACCCCCCTCTGCCCCTCTCCTGGGTCCCCGTGACCCCCCTCTGCCCCTCTCCTGGGTCCCCGTGACCTCTCTTCTGGGTCCCCATGACCCCTCTTCTGGGTTCCTGTCCCTGACCTTCTTGCTTATCTCTAGGAGCAAGACTGGCTCTGGTCCCCCTGGGACACAGGAGCTCAGGGGAAGGGTAGGAGTGACCATGGGGAGGAGAGGATTTCCAAGAGGCAGACACACTCCCTTCCCACCTGCCACCTCAGGGCACAAAGTTCCAGGGTCCCACCCACCCGCAGCACCCCTCCCGTTCACCCTAAGATCCAGCTGGATAAGGTGTCCTCTGATAAGCCTTCTGGACCACCCTGAGGGGTCTGTCAAGTGAACCTCTGCTCCCCAGGGCCTGCCTCGGTCACGGTCACACCTGTGCTGGTGCACCGTCTATTAAACAGGTTTGCTCTGCCAGTAACTGTGCATGTGCCTGCGTGCGTGCGTGTGTGCGTGTCTGTGCCTGTGTGTGCACATTGAGAAGTCTCAGCCCCATGGAACACTCTTTAAATGTGTTCAATGAAAAAACAAAAAAATGAACGAGAACCTCGAGCCCTGCACGGTGGCACACACCTGTAATCCCAGGGACTCCAGAGGCTGAGGCAGGAGGATTGAGAGTTCAAAGCCAGCCTCAGCAACTTATCGAGTCCCTAAGCAATTCAGCAGGACCCTGTCTCTAAGTAAAATATTTTTTAAAAGGGCTGGGGATGTGGCTCAGTGGTTAAGTACCCCTGGGTTCAATCCCTGGTACCAAAACAAAAGAAAAAAGAAAGCAGTTTAAAAAGGATGACTACACTCAACAGTGACCTCACCTGCTGGATTTGGAAGAAAATAAGTTTGAATACATACACATTTCCATCTTAGCTATGGCTTTTTAACTCACTGTAAATTAGGAGCAGAATTGTCTTGTTGCTAATAGAATATTTAGTCTTCTCTACACTGGGACATTTAAACAAAAATGTTGGCTTCAAATAGTTGGGAAAGTACATAAGCGCTCTCGCTCTCTCTCTCTCTCTCTCTCTCTCTCTCTCTCTCCCCCTCCTCCCCTCCCTCTCTCTCTCTCCCTCCCCCCTCCCTCTCTCCCTCCCTCTCTCTCTCTCCCTCCCCTACTCTCTCTCCCTCCCTCTCTCCCTCCCTCTCTCCCTCCCCACCTCCCCCCTCCTTGATACTGGGGACTGAGCCCTGGGACACTCTGAGCCGTAGCCCCAGCCCCATGGTCTCTGAAAGGCTGAGCCTGAAGCAGGAGTCTGGCTCTTGAGGCACACCTGTGTGTAGAGGCCTCACAGTGAAGACTCCTGTACTCACTGCCCAAACCGAGACAGTCTGAACCTGTGACCATCAGGAGGGGCCTTACAGGTGGGAGAGGGAGGCGGGACAGTCAGAGACTGAACCTGTGACCATCAGGAGGGGCCTTACAGGTGGGAGAGGGAGGCAGGACAGTCAGAGACTGGAAAGTGCTGCAGAGCTGGCTCTGAAGATGGAGGAAGCCAAAGACTGTGGCACCTTGGAAGCTGGAAATGTGCAGGAAAGGACTGTCCCCTGGAACCCCAGGAGGAGCACAGCCCTGTGGACATTTCTTTCATCTCAGTGAAAGAAATTCTGACTTCCTGAACCATAGGTGATAGCTCGAGTTGGTGTAATCAGGAACTTTGGGGTAATTTGTCACAGCAGCAACAAGAAATTCGTACACCCCCAAAGCCACCTGGTGAGGTTCCCTGCCCTCCCATGCACCCCTTGGAACGGCCCTGAGCGCCTCGGAGGCTGAGGAAGGAGAGTGGGGTCTGCACCCCTTACCTGTGACTGTGAGCACCATGGGGTTGCTGGGGCTTGACCACAGGTACGGGGAGACGTTGGAAAAGCTGTAGCACCGGTAGGTCCCGCTGTGAGCAGTGGTCACGGGGACCATGGGGAAATCTGCAAGGTACAGCTTCTCGAGTCTCTTGTAGAACCCAGCGTCCCCCTCCTTATACAGAGCAAACTGGTCAAAGCCATATTGGCTCTGACACTTCAAGGTCACATCCCCCCCTGGGGGCACCACGGGGCTGGGATGCGCAGTGAGCRAGGGCTTGTCGAAGACCCCTGGGAGGAGAGAAGACGGGGTCAGAGCCGTGGGGTCAGAGCCATGGCCAGCGTCCCAGCTACCTCACTTCTCCCCTCCTGGAGGGGCCGCTCCCTGCCCCAGCCCAGGGAGGGGGGTCACAGAGTGGTTAAGGGACGCGTCCAGGTCACATCACAGGGCTCGGGTCCAACCCTGGTTCTGCTGCCAAGTAGCCCTGTGTTCCTGGAGAGAAGTGTCCCTCCACATCTGTGCCTCAGAGGCCACTTCACTGCTGTGAGGTGGGCGTGGCTGAAGGAGACCAGTAGTGGTCAAAGTGCCCAGCAGGGAAAGCCCTCACCCTGCAGGAGTGGCCAAGCAGCATGGTTTAGGACGAAGGCGTGTTAACGGCGCTCTGCAGCCTCCGTGGAACCTGTATGAAGCACCAGCTTCGGGCCACTCCAAAGCAAGACTCTAATGCCCTGAACAAAAACCCGTCGACTCATCACGACTCATGTCCCTACTTCCTAAGGAAACGACAGTAACTTGTCCACCTTAGGAAACGACTCTGTACTGGAGGCTTGAAATTGTCAAAGAGTAGATCTTAAGTGTCTCACCACAAAAATGCTTGTTTGGGTCTTGGTGTTGGTGCTGGGGCTTGGGGTCGAGCCCAGGGSTGTTGGACCACTGAGCCACACCCCCAGCCACAGAGTCTCACTCAGTGCCTTAGGGCTTAAGTTGCTGGGGCTGGCTTTGAACTTGTGATCCGCCTTCTTCCACCTCCTCAGCCAACAAAAATGCTTTCAAAAGGTAACTCTAGGGCCAGGTGTGGTAGGGCACAACTGTAGTCCCAGCTACCTAGGAGTCAGAGGTGAAGCCCCAGGCCCTGGGGTTCAAGGTCACCTGGGCAGCATACGAGACCCCGAATCAAAAAAAGCAGCTGTGTTTCAGGTGGTAGATGTGGCAATCCCTTCATCCTGGTGATCACCTCACAACATGTTCCTGTTCCAAAATATAGAATTGAGTGCCCGAAAGACATGTGATTTTCATCTGTCAAACTTATGTCAATAAAGCTGAAATCGTCTTGAATTTTAAATGAATCAATAACTTGTCCAAGGTCACAGGACAATAGGTGACGAGCTGTCCTGCTCCCGTGCGTGGGTGTGGGCTGCCAGCTCTGCCCTCCCAGACCTGAGTGTAAAGTAGCTCACCATCACTGCCCACCCTGGTGATGACACACACCACGGTGACACACACCACGTGACACCTGCCTGGCACACAGGATCACGAAGGCAAAGAGCACTGAACAGCCCTGGTAACTGGGGGCCGTTCACTCCTTCAACACTTCTCTGTGTTATTTCCTTTTCCTGAGGGGGAGGTCATGCTGGGGATTGAACCCAAGGGCGCTCTACCACGGAGCCACGTCCCAGCCCTTTTTACTCTTTATTCTGAGTGAGGGCCTCAGTAAGTTGATGACACTGGCCTCCCCCTTGTCCTCCTCTTGCCTCAGCCTCCCAGATTGCTGGGATCGCAGGCGTGCGCCTCCACACCCGACTCTTTATAGCTGAACCGATGATCACGTGTCAGTTCTAACAAATAAAAATCCCGTCAGGTGGGAAAAAACTAGAGAACAACTAAGGCCAACAGGCAGATGGGTGGCACATCCGGTGTCAGGTACCCTCCAAGGTCACGGTGCACTCCTGAGTAGGGGCCAGGGAAATACTCAAGGGGAATACAGCCTTCAAGGTGGACCCCAAAAGAAGTGGCGAGGAGGCCGGGCTGGCGGGCCCTAGAGGCAGGGCAGAGACAGCAGGAGGGGACGTGGGGATGGAGGCACACGGCCAGCCGGCACCCAGGGAGGGGCAAATCTTGATCTTGTCCAAGTGATTAACAGGTTGAAAAATACTGAAAAGTCAAGTAGATCATGAAAATCCACATCGTTCTCAGTTTGAATGTTTGTTTATACCTCCCCCAGAGAAGGAGTTCTCATCTTCAGACGGGCTGTCCTGGAAGCAAGCTCCGGGCAACGTGCAACCCCCTCCCCACCCCCGGAGAAGTGTGGTTAAGAACTGCGCTGGGCTGGGAGGCACAGCTGCTGTTCCTGTGGCCTCCGCCTGCAGCAGGCCAGAGCCCTGCCAGGCCGACCACCTACAGATGTGATATCTGTCCGTCATGGGCGTTTCTGCATGAATGTTTGATTTTTAAAAAACATGTTGCATGCAGGGGCTGGAGTCGCGGCTCAGAGGCAGAGCACACCCTATCACCTGCGAGGCACTGGGTTGGATCCTCAGCACCACATGAAAATAAATAAATAAAGGTATTTTTAAAATCAAGATTATGAGTTCAGACCCGGGCGGGCGGCCCTGAATCCACTCCATCCCCCACCCTCCAGTTACCAGTGGCGACCAGCTCCAGATGGTCACTGGGGAGCGACCACTGGGACCCGTTCTGGTAGGAGCAGCGGTAGCGCCCCGCGTGACTCGTTTTCATGGCCGAGATGGAGAGGAAGTTCTGGTCCTCGTACTTCTTGGATCCCAGTTTCTCCAGGCGGTACAGGTCCACGCCCGGAGGCCCCTGGCACCAGATGGTCACCGGCCTCTCCAGGGGCACTAGGGAGCTGGGCAGAGCCCGGAGGGAGGGCTTGGGGAGTAGGCCTGGAAGGGACGCGTGACCGAGGTCAGTGGCCGAAAGAAGAGGCCCCTCTGGGCCCCACACTGCGCCTGCCCGTCACACAGGGCCTGCRGAGAGGCACTCACCGCTCTGCGCTGCGGTCACCCGCCGCCCCAGACACAGCCCTGGGGAGAGAAGAGAACCAGYGCTGGGGACTCCTTGGCGGACGCCTCCCGTCCCCACTCGCTTTTCACTCTATTTCAGTTTTCCAAAGCCACCCGTCACTGTTACTCGAAGGAAGCCAAGTCCCTAAGGACACACTCCGGGGATGGCATTGCACAGTGTCCAGAACAACTAAATCCACCGACTCAAGCCTCCAGGGCCCTGGGGCTGGGGTTTCCTGGGGGGGTGGGCACAGGTCTCTGAACCAGAGGCTGGTCTGCGACACCCTGAACAGACTGAATGTCAGGGAAATTCTGAGCTATGTGCATTCGACCACAATTAAAATTTTAAGTCAAAGATGGACTGTGCCTGCCCTGGGCAGCCCCTCCCCGCCCTAGGCAACCCCTCCCAGACCCTGAGCAGAGAGCGGGGACTGGGTGCACACTGACCCCTGCTGTCAGGGTCTGGGGCCCTGGGCACTGACTTTCTCAGCAGAGGTGCTGTGCCAATTTCCCAAGGTGGGCCCTGAGCCCCCAGGGTGCTAGTGCTGGGCACCAGTGTTGCCCTGTGTCATTACCAGGCCACTGGGGCAGGGTCTTGCCCACAGTCCCCAGCCGGTGGCAGATGGATCCTCACACCAGCAGCCTAGTTTAGTGGTAAAGAACGTGGGTCAGGGAACCCACAGAAACAGCAGACTGCATCTCTGGGGGACGGTGGTCAGAGGTTGGGGGAAGACACCCTGCAGGGCACCCACCGCCCAGGGCTAACCACAGGTTGACTCTTGGAAATCCCTGAGGATAGATCTTCAATGTTCTCACTATTTTAAAAATTCAACTGAGAGGTATGGCCATGTGAATTAGCCCGAGTCAGCCAGTCCGCAAGGAGCTCGGGTATGGAAACTCCATGAGGCTGTGCACTACTGACACATGCAGTCGTCGTCAGCAAGAAACACTCAGCCCGTCACCCGCATCAAATATAAGGGGAAAAGTTAAAATCCAGCCTGGATTCGGTGGCAAAAGTCCTTAGTTTGTATGAGTCCTTGCTGTGGGGACAAGTCACTTAACCCTCCGGTCCTAGTCACACTGTAAAATGAGGGAGGTCCTAGGGCCTGCCTYGTGGGGCCACGGAGGATTCCAGGGCTCAGTGTCTTAGAAAGGGAAGGAAACAACCCAGAACAGCAGGTCACCCGCGGTGAGTGTGCTCCAGGGCCAGCGTGGGAGCAAGTCAAGGGCCCTGGCTGCCCTCGTCCTCGGCACACAGTCCTTCGCTGCCTGCTTAGCCTCTCAGAGCTGAGCCATAGGAAATGATGGCGCCAGGTGCCCAGCACCAGCCGGTGGACAGCAGGAGAAGCACCGAGTCTTAAAGCAGCGGCGAGCTCCGCGCTCCCCAGGGGGGCTTCGTCTCGCAGGGTTTATTGATCCTCTTTCACCAGGGGCACAGTGCCTGCCCTCCGGCATCGCCCAGTCACCCCTGGGGACTCACCGAGACAGAAGAGAGCAGTCAAGGATGGAGACATGGCTGCTGGGCCTGGGCAGAGCTCCGTGGTGGAGGCGGGAGCAGAGGCTCAGGCTGCAGTGAGGACGGAGAGGCCCCTCCCCGCCCAGCCCGGGTTTCCTAATTGAGGCTCATCAGGCTGAGCTGTCTCCTCCAGAGCATGACTTGCACCCGGGCTCCCAGGAGGCCCCTTATCTCCTCTTGCCAGCCTGCTGCCCCACCATCCCTGCCGGCCTGCTGTGGCCTGGCCTGTGTCCCATACTCCCGCTGTCACCAGGGGAACGCGAATCCAGGCCACAGGAGGTCTCACGGCACACCTGCTAGGATGGCTGTGACTTACGAAATGGCGAGGGGGAGAACRTGGAGCCCTGTGCCCGCCTTGCTGGCAGCAGTGTGACGGGGCGGACAGAGATGGGAGTCCTGTGATCTAGCAAGTCCACCTCTGGGCACGAGCCCGAAAGGGTTGAAAGCCGGGCCTGGAGGAGGTATTTGTACCCCCGCGTTCATGGCAGAATGCTCACAGTGGCCRAAAGGTGGAAGCAACCCAGTGTCCATGCACAGGGTTTGGGTAAGCAAAATGGGATAATCTAGATGATTGACAGGTGGATAGACAGACAGACAGGCAGAGATGGAGATAGCCTGGTCTATGACCTGACCTTCAGGAAGGACATTCTAATACCTGCTATAACCTACTCGTCCTGTCTACCTAAAACTTGCCTGTGACCGATCCCATTCCTGATTGTCTGAGGACCTTCCTGCTGTCCTCCACAGCAGCTGGGCCCGTTACACTCCTGCCAAGGGTGGAATGCGTGCAGACATGGGACAAGCACAARGTGCTGGTGGATCGCATCTGGGGACCCTTGATAGGAAGGCTTCAGGGYGCTTTGATAGGAAGTGGGGATGCCTGGGGTCCTGGCAGGTGGCAGAGAGATTTGAGGAACRACAGCGGGTGTGGTGTAGGGCCTCTCCACCCTGAGCCTCGCCATCTCGTCTGCCCTGGGCCAGCTGTGAGCCCCGTGGAGGACAGCATCCCCAAAGGCCCTGAGGAAAGGGGCGTGGGACTGAGGAGCTGAGGCTACAGATTGGAGGGGTCACATCAGGGTGTCCGACCGCAGCACTACTGTCCAGGGCACCCCTGTTGRGGCCAAGAGGGCCTCCTGGAGACAGGCTGCTGAGTGGCAGCTGCAGCCCCCCACTAGGTGTTGCGAGCAGGAGTCCCCTTCCGGTTGGGACAGCCACAGACCATGTGTCAGAGGTGGCCAGAGTTCTCTGGGGAGGGACCAAGGGTGCAGAATCTGAACCCAGACCACCCAGGGACTTGGAATCCACTTCAATACTAGGACCTCTTCCTGGAAAGCTGACCCTGCCCTCTGGCCCAGGCCCCTCCTCTGGACTCTGCAGTGTCTTTGAGAGCCGGACCTTTCTCCCAGACGTCCTGTATCATCGTCAGTCAGATCACCAATGAGAAACCAGCACATGGTGCAGAGGGCGTCTCTCTGAGGTCCTGGAAAGGCAGGGGGTCGTCCGGGGTTCTCCACTCTGAATTGCGAGTCCACAGAGGCCGAGAGCCATGATGGGGCTCAGGGAGCAGGAGCTGCTGCCCTCTGTGGTCTCAGTGCGGAGGCSACGCGGCTGCTGGACCCAGCACAGCGCAGCCYCTGAGGTGGGCTGAGCACCCAGAAYGTCCCCTCAGCAGGATCTGCCCRGCTCCCGACTCCTGRGGCCAGGACCCCCAGCAGGGTGTCTGGGGGCACAGAGTCTCCCTCCCAGGTCACACCACAGTCGAAGCTTTACGGCTGGCTCTGTGGTGGTACCACKCACACCCGAGGTCCACAGCAGGACTGTGACCCCACGGAGCATCAACACTTCCACCCGACAGACAGCCTGGCAGGCCGTGGGCCACCCGGCATGGTTAGAGGAGTGGCCAGCAGGACCCGGCAGCGGTTCCTTCACCGCCCAGGGCGCAGGCCATGTGCCCCCCAAGGCCTCGTGTGAGAGCGTCCGCTGGTGCCTCGCGGGGAGCAGGTGGGTTTGCATCAGGCCGACCTTTTGACAACTGGGCTGTTCACACACTGTCATGGATTTTGTTCATTCCAAAACAGCAACTATCTACCGAGCACCTGCTGCACATGGGGCAGCCCCCGGGTACGGAACCCAGGGGGCCCGAGGAGCTTGGGCAACGGCAGGGCAGATGGAGAGCATGCTGTTTTCTGAGGCTGTGCAGTGGATTCCCACGAGCCTAGGGAGGAAGCAAGGCCGTCTCATGGGCCAGGCGTCGGGGAGTTCTTCCCTCAGGGTCTCAGGCCTGCACTGGTCTCAGCAGGGCCACCTCCTCCTCTCAGGGCTCGCTGGGGCAAGAATGCTCCCAGGTTGTTGGAGGACTTTGCTTCTGTGTGGTCCTGGGGCTGAGGGCCCCAGGTTTCTGCTGGCGGCTGTGGGGGCCCCTGGGCTCCTGGAAGCTGCCTCATTCTCCCAAGGTAGCTGCAGCTCTCCCTCACAAYGTGGCCCCGCCCCTGGGTCCTGGAGGAGAGCACCCCAGGAGGGGTCCCGGCAGTGTTGAAGGGCGGTGTGTCCAAGCCCCGCCAGGATAAGCTCCCTTTTGCAGAATGTGGAATCCACTGACTTGGGCCCTCAATGACTTGGGGGGTGGCTCGCTGCGCCCAGCCATCTCACAGTCAACGGTTTTGTGTGTGGCAACAGCGATACAATCTAACCACTTGGCAAAAMTCCTGACCCAGTTGAGTGCTGTTCACTCCAGTCCTCACACTGGACGTTGGACCTCAGCCTTGACCGTCAGCATCTCCCCGCGTCCTCCCCACCCTGCTCCTCGTAACGCCTGTTCCACCCTCGGCCTTTGTGTGTCCRGCCCCCGTCCTTGTCTGTTTCGATGCCACGTATCCCTGAGATGGTGCAGCCTTTGCCTTCTGTGCCCGGCTGCTCTGTCCTGGCCTGACCTCCTCCAGGTCCATCCTGCCGTGCCAGCTGCAGGACGCCCTTCTCCTTAAAGGCTGAGCGGTACTGAGCGATGTCCACAGAGACGTCCCCATGTCCACTCTCCACGGAGCTGGCGTCCCAACAGCTCAACAGCAGAAACACAAAGAGCCTGGTCTTTAAACGAGCAAAGGACCTGAATCTTATTTATTTCTGTGACTCACACGAATGGCCAACAGATACACAAAGAGTGCTCCCATCACTGACTGGCCACTGCGAGATGCCACGGAGGAGCTGGGCATGTGGGGGAGGGTGACAAGGGGACCCTGCACCTGAGCCTGTGGAGGCTGCAGCCACGGAGAGAGCCACGGGGGCTGAAGGGGTCAAAGGCCAAGCCCCCGCGTGAGCCAGGCCCCCCTTGGGATCACAGTGGGCAGAATGCACTGGCCCCCCGGGGGGCACCGTGACCAGCATGCTGCAGCGCCACCCACGACGTCCAGCTGCRGAAGACTCAGGGTCCTCCTCAGGCCACTCGTCCGCTTCCTGAGGGCTGGAGGGCAGGCTGGCCTCCCGCAGCTGTAGCCAGTCCCTTAGAGGAGGCCTGCCCGGCCACCCGCCCCTCCCCACGTGAGCCCAGGCAGGCTCCTCTGAAACACTTGGTGACAATATGCCAGGAGCCGGGACTGCGCCAGAGCCCCCGGGGTTCCCGGCAGTGCACGAGCTTCTCTCTCCGAGTCTCAGGGCTCCCACCTGGGGGCTGGCACTGAGGGACATGGAGCGGCACCTGGGCACTGCCGTCCACTCAGCCAGCCCTGCTGTCCCCTCAAGGCGAGGTGAGTGTGGCATACACACAGGGCTGTGTTGACCCATCCTGGGGCGCTCGGGAGGGAAGTGGACCCACACTCCTGGTGAGGGTCCTTGGGTGCAGCTGGACATAGGTCACCTCCTGTGRGCCTTCTGCAGCATGGACCTGCCACGGGGAGGCACACGTGTGGAGTGGGCACCTGGGCTTGGGCTGGGAGGAGAGGCATGGAGGGAGGGCTCACCTGTGTGTCAGGCTGTCCATGCTCCCTGTGCTCGGTGTCCTCTGAAAGGGAAGATGAGAGGGTGGACCTCCTGCACGACAGTCCCCCAACGACCCGACCCACCTCCCAGATATCGGAGCAATACGTACTCCAGGGGACAGTAATGCCCCCAGCAGGGCGGAGCTGGCTCCTGTCCTGCCCTGCCCCAGGCCTCCAGTTCTCCAGGGGACAGTAATGACCCCAGCAGGGTGGAGCTGGCTCCTGTCCTGCCCTGCCGCAGGACTCCAGTTCTCCAGGGGACAGTAATGCCCCCAGCAGGGTGGAGCTGGCTCCTGTCCTGCCCTGCCCCAGGCCTCCAGCTGCTGGCCTCCCGCCCCACACAGGCCGCCCTGCTCCCGTCCACTCACCTTCATCTTCCCCCTGGACATTGGAGGCAGGGCTGGAGCTGAGGGGAAGGGGGAGGGGTGTCATGGGAAGTCCCCAGAGGACTCCTAGGATCTCGGAGGTTTTTATTGGGGGAGTCTGAACTGTCCTACCTCACGTCCCACACTGGGCTCTTGGTCCCACCRTCAGTCACCCCTAGGAGGGTACAATGGTCAGGCTGGAAGGGAGCGGCCAGCCCCAGCCCACAGTCCACCCCGATTCACCTTCAGCCACAGGACATACCAAATCTGGCCCGACGTGGCCCTCGGTGTCGGCATAGGCAGAGGCCAAGGAGGAGCAGGCAGAGGACGAGGAGGACGGCAGCGGCRGCMGAGACCCCAAMCACAAGGGGACTAGGTGGACCTGGGGGTTCACACACAGTGAGGATCCACCTGCACCTGCGGCACTGATCACAAAGGACCAGAATGACAGGTCACAAAATCACAAGGACCAGGTGACAGGTGACCTTGGTGTGACAGTGTGATGTTGGAGAACTGAGGGTGTCAGGACTGGCAGAAGGCTGTGGGCACCAGGCAGGATGACCTAAGGCGCCCTCCAGCGAGGGCGGGGAGCTCTGCTTCCATGAAGGGCCGGGAGGGGGCTGGACACCTGTGATCAGGAGCTCTGCAGCTGGCCACTGGAGTCAGAGAAGGACAGCTCCTGGACGTGTGACACAGGCCACAGGAGTCTTTCTGACTAGAGCTATAAGGCTAGGGGCGCCTGAGGAGGGTAACCAACTCAGCTGTCCCCGCCCAGCGCTCCTGTCCCGAGTGGCCAGACTTGAACACCAGCCATCTCCTCCTCACTGTCCTGCACCTCTTCCTGGGGGCCGGCTGCAATGTCCACCCTAACCCAGGCCACTGTCACGC